AACAAAAGGTTGTCTGTATACTGCCTCTTTCTCAAGCTTCCAATCTGAGGTGCAGGCAATTCTGCAATTCTGATGTCCGTTTCCATAACTGAAGCCTATATTGTGTTATTGTCTGTGATGTTCACCAATTTATGAAGCACTGCTTTATTTTGATGACTCTTCCATGTACTAACATTAGCAAAATCAGACTTTAGAGTAATGCCTAGTCAAGAAGAAATGGCAATAAAAGTAACTAATTTGTCAGTTCATAGAGTTAATTTATCTGCCAGTTCATAGCATATCTGTCTACCACTTCTCTGCCTTTCTGGGTGTGAACTACAGAACAGGTGTTTTGCTTTTAAAAAGCGGGGAGTGGAGAAAGATGAAAGTGCTGTAAAAATGAGTGAACTTGCTGTGGTAGAGGGCACATGCCCTGAGAATTCCTCTGGTTTAGGTAGTGGCTTATCTGCAGCTTGAGAAACGGGAACGTTTCTGTCTGCACCAGCTGCTGTTACACTGGGGCTGTTAACACTCTGCCAGAGCCAGGCTCAGAAATTTGTCCCCCTTCTGTTCTGCTACAACTTGCTCTATGCTGACCACATTGTTGTCCACAGGATCTGAGAGAGGTTTTGCCTGCAGAAAGATGTGTTTCCTGGTGGTAGACATTGAACGTAGTTACCTTAGGGTGGAAAAACAAAAAAAACCCAAACCAAACCAAACCACCAAAAAAACAAACACCCCCCCCCAAAAAAAAAGCCAAACAAACAAAAAATAGTTTAAAAAAATTAACAAAAAAACCCCAAACAAACAAAACAAAAAGAAACCAAAGGAAAGAGACAGAAGGGAAAAGAGGGTTAAAAAACCCCAACAAATTCATTTGCCATGGGGGTCAGCAGGGAAGAGTAGTGTGGTCCCCAGTCAAGCCTCTTCCATGGGCACACTATGCACAACAGAGATTTTTCCCCACATTTTCCTCTAGTATGATGCACTTCTCATCAGGATCCACTCAAAGCCATAATTGCATTTTCATGGTGAATCAAAGCATGCTTAGGGTTGTATGATGGTTCATTTCTAAGCCTTCTGCACGTGTGTTATAGGGTATGCTTATCTGCCTGGTTACTCACTAGGTCTTGTTCTTGCTCTAATGTAAACCAAAAGTTGCAGAACAGATCCTTAGGACTTAGGTTAACACCCCCATTTTTCCTACCGACTTCTCAAATGTAAGCACAGGTAATAGAACTAAGAAAATAATAAAGTGAAAAGAAAAGGAATAAATAATTTTACACAAGAACATTTTAGGATAGTGTGGATGAAAGTTAATAACAGCTCACTGGTTTGTGTTTTCTTCAGGTCACAGTGCATCAATCAGATGAAAGAATTAGAAGAACAATGTGAAGAAAGGATAGATGAGCTTACAAAGAAGGGTAGTGATATACCACAAATCAAAGAAAATAAAGGCTTCTTGGAAGATTCAAAAAAAAATAGCCAGGTATGGTTTGCATACTTTGTTAAAAAACTTTCTTCTTTGTCATTCTTAAGGGGGTTTCCACTTTTTTGCTATCTCTGACTTACATTAGCCCGTCTCACTAAGTTTTGTGCTGCTTTCCTTCACATTTGTTGAATGTTTCTGATCTATGGGAGATTGAGTGATTCCAAGGACAGAACAAGGCTGAAGTCCTGCAGGAGACTCCAAATCATTGTGGCTCTGAGATGGGCAGAATTTGAGAGGTGATGCTGGGAAGTGCTGTGGAGCCTATTAAAAATATTAATTTACGTTGTTGAGCTTTGGTTCACAACTCCTTTAGACTTGTTAAAGAACTTAGGTGCTTTGTGTGTTAAAGATGAGGATTAATTGTGAATCACTTCAGAGCGGCAGCAGTCCTTGGATACGATATTGGAGTCCAGGGGTCTTTGAGGTCCATCAGCTGTGAATTTTCTCAGAAATCCCAATGTCAGCCTTTTGCAGTGGGAATGCAGGGAAGATCAAGTGCCTTAGCTGTTTGCTTTTGGATGTTGTGGGTCAGAGAACCACAAAGGGCAGTGCTGTACGTGACACGGGAAGGCTCATGAGGACAGGTCAGGCTTGCCATGCAGGGTGGCTGTGTGCCTGCTGGCTTGTCCTTCCTGGGCGGCAGGAGGAAATCCTGAGAAAAGGACATTTCAGATCTTCCTGTTGTCTTGGCATGTGAATTACTGGTGCTTCCTCAGTGAAGTAGGATTCGGTCAGGGGTAGGACTTGGTTGGTTAAGCTTGATACAGATGGAAACACGCAGTGAAGCTCCTGGTTGAGAAGACAACTTAGTTATTTCTGTGTACCGTTTCTTCAGGTCTGTGAGCTCCACTTACATTTTTTTACATTTGATTACAGTGGGGACTTTCACTGATACCTGTGTGTGGCCAGCTCTCATTGCAAAGGCAGTAGGGGTTTGGTGGTATATGTCCTTTTTGGCTAGGAAAAGTCATTACTAGAAAAAAACAATTTTATGCCTTCAGAATTGGAAAGGATAAAGCAGTGAGGGTTGAAGCTGGGTTTTCCAAATATCTGGAAATGAGTGGGAGAAAAGGGCTGAAGCATCTGCTCAGAGATCTTCAGGTGTTCAGGTAATGGTTCCAGTCTGTGTCCAGCCCTTTCCGTGAAATGGAGGGAGAGTTGCTGAAAGCTTGTGACCTTAAATCCTGGGAACCTTTGTTGTGTGAGAGAGCTGCAAGATGAATCAAGCATTAGAGACAAGAAATGCTAGCCACTAATCCTGTTTTTAAAAAAAAAAAAAAAAGAAGAAAGTGAAAGCTCTTGTTTGTCAACAATTTTTATCAACGGTTTCAAATAAGTAAATAAAAAGTAGGCAGCAGGTCAGGCACAGCATGTTATCTGTTCTCCTTTTAATGTGTAGATGGGATGGTCTCACATGTGATAACCACTAATTTAGCTACAGCCTAAATAAATTTTGGCTGTGCTCCCTACTATCTGTGACTGTTTTTTAGGTCAAGCTGTAACTTTCTCCATTGTTATTTGGCTAAGGATTGCAACTTTTTGCTCGTACAAAAGCTGAGTTATTTGTCATTAGTCCAAGGTGACCCTGAGTAAATCTGTGTACATTTGTAGATGGCGTTTTTAGCTGTAATAATTGCTGTTTGTAAGATGTATGTGCTTATGTAATGGAAAGGTCAGAATTAAAACAAAATGGAAGGAAAATGGAGTGCAACTTTTCTTACATCTCTGTATTTTAAGGAATGTTGTATACCTCAGTTGACGAATATACAACTTGTTCAATTTTTATCTTTTTATCCAACCACTTCATCTTAAAAAATCTTCAGCATATACCTTTTTAATTTATTTGACAGCCTTATTAAAAATTACTGAGCTAGAAATTTAAGATGGTACAATTTAAGGGCTTTTTCATGTTCAATTAAGAGGCAATTTCTTGCTGTTAAGTGCAGGCTCAGTATTTTTACAGAAGAATTAATGCCTAGCATAAAGTGAAAAATGGTCTTATGTTCAGTTTCTGATGATTTCTACTGTAGAGTGACCTTGCAGAGCTGAATTATTTCTAAAACAAGCATTTTTAAGTACAGCATTTTTGTTTTAATGACCGAAGGAAGATGGAGTTCCTCTGAATATCCTTACTGCAATAACCAAGTGTTATGTGGTAATACTTGCTTTTCAAGCTTTCAGAAGAGTTACTGCTGGATTTTTTTGTTGATGTTGGACTTCATGCTGTTGACTCAACAAGGCCTTCAGTTCTGCATGGCTTTGACTGAGCTTAAACATTTTCTGAACAGCCAAGTAACCATATCCTACAAATCCTCTATAACTTTGGCTTCTTGGTTATTTAACCACTTCTTTCTGCAGATGTTTTTCCAAACGACTGTGGGAACACTTGACAACCTCGTATTTCGTTGACCTGCTTAGGACAGTGAATAGCTACAATCTTAGCAACAATTGCAACAGAAAACTTTGTTGACTGTATGATTTCTATACCATAAGGTTTCCGGTTAATTTGCGTAGTACAAAGTATAAAAGTTTGTCTTTAAATGTCTGTATGCTTTTTCTTTCTCTGAATCTTTCAAGGTTTTTTTTGTTGTATTTTTTTTTAACAAAACAAAAACCCAACAAAAAAATCTCCATAGAGTGAACAGTTTTATTACAGGCTGTTTTTTTGTACTGAAGCTGGTGTAGTGCGGTGTGGGCTTTCCTCTTCAGTGTTTGTGTGAACTGAACCAATGTAGCTCTCAGCCAATTAAATGATAGCATGAGTAAAAGTTGTACATAGAATTTTAATTCCTGAATTGGAAGATCTTCAGGGTGGTGTACGTCTTAGCCATTGATCTTCAAGCAGGGCAAATGCTGAGAGCAGTCTAGGACCAGCATTTAATATATTCTTAAGTAAGCTCCATCAAGTTAAACAGATACTGTTGCCTAGTTGGTTGATTTACATTTTTCTTCTCTTAATCCTGCATTCAACATAGTTTGTTGAATTTGAGTTACTGGTTCTGTACAGGCTTGCTTAATTGAAGTCTTATTGTGCCCAAACTCATGTTACTGTAGTCCTGTAGATTACTAACAGTAGTTAATGCCATCTGGTTTTTTTGCTCTGCTGACCCTCACACAGTAGCAGGGCAACAGTGGAGAAATGTGTGGTGTTACAGTTCTGTGACCCTCAGAGAGTAACAGGTAGAGTAGAATTAGATTAAAGAAGGTGTGTTAAATTCTCCTGATGTGTTGTGCTGTTATATAGAAACATCTCTGTGTATTCAAGATTGTATGGCACTTCCACCACCAATAAAAATTTCAGTCAATATTTCCGAGTGTGAGGATTTTTTCCCCCTGCTGAATTCTTACCTAACTTCCCTTTCCAAATCCAGGAACAGTTATATAGACCAATGTTTGTCTGTGTACATTCGCTTTATAGGTCAGTCTTGAACTGCCAGCATTGAAGCAACCAGAGTTCAAGCAGACTGACTTGGAACAGCAGAAACCCAATGAAGATGTGCCTGAAACAGCACCGATAGTAAAAAATATAGACCTGCTGCAGGCTAAAGGTTAGATGGAAATCACTATCTTACAGATGTTCTTAAACAGTTAATGTAATTGAACATGTAAAAAACATTTTTGTAACCAAGATTTAAGACGGAAAAAATGACACAGTAGACTGAACTTTAATCAGTTTTTTGGCTCTGGAGAGGTATAATACCTATTCAAGCATTTTTATTACTAGCATTTCTACTGGGTCAGTTTTGTTGTAATTGACATGTTGCATATAAAGGAAAATGCAAATATTTACAATTCTAGAGTCATATTCCTAATCTAATATGGAGGAAATACTCTGCTTTTGGAAGCAATCATTTTCAAGCATGTTTAAACTTTGCTTTCTTAATAAGTTGGACACATCTAGCCTGCTGCCCCTCCCTGTAGAGTAGCTGGCAGTGAGGTTTTAAACAAACACACATTCATGCTTCCATGCTTCCCATCTGCTGTCATTAAGCAAAATGCAAGTAAGGGAAATGACACGCAGGAGACCAGGTTAGTTAACCTCATGGTTGCTTTTGGCACTAAACTCTCAGAAACTATTAGTGTGAATGGATGCACCCTCGTATGTCTGTCTCGCATAGTGCTGTGTGTGGTAGAAATTCAGTTTCCTATTTAATTATTCTTATGTGCCATCTTAGATTGCAATCTTGAGAGCATGCAACCCTCATTTTGGAGAGCTGGCAATTGAAGACTGCTATGTATTTTATTCAGGCAAAATTTGTGGTTTTTTTAGTTAAAAATAGAGATACACAGGAAAAAAGATACAGTAATGTCTGCTAAAAGTGATAGCTCTCCTGCACTTCCTCTTAGTATTAAAAAATAAGAACAGCCTTATTTTTATTTTGAGCACCAAATCAGTTTTGTTAGTAATGAAATGTAACACAGAGAAACCTGATGCTTATATAACATACTGCAATTTTTATTTAAACTACTCTGTTTCACCTGCCCAACTTATTAAGTGAACATACCAAAATTTTAAGTAGGTAGAAGTGTGAATTTGTTGACAGTAAACAACATCTCACCCTTCAGCTGTTCCCAGTAGGAAAAACATGGGTTGCCGTCTTTTTCTCTTTGGAACTGATGTGATCGAAAGATGATGTTTCAGAGGAAAAACAAAAATTGAATGAGAAAGATAAAGCAGTATTTATTAAATGTTTTTGACTTGTGCCACTACTGAAAGGCATTAGTTTTTTTACTCGGAATAATTTTTATTGTTCACAGAAAGAATCAATGGCCTAGCTGACATCGGGAAACAGGAGCCTAAGGCAGAAGAGAAGATTTCTGGTCAGCTGAAAAGCCCACAGGATTCACTCAAGGCTGCTGCAGGCCACAAGGAGGCACTGCCTGAGTCAGAGAAGGAGCTGAAGCCGTCTGAAGTTGAGAAACAGACAGCAGCAGAGCAGGCTGCCAGCCAGGAAATCGAGAGGGAGCAACTCCTAAATTATGACACAAAGCAGGATGACCTGCCCCCTGGACAGGCTGGTTGGTAGCATGTCACATTTTGTTAAGAACAGTAAAGGAATGAGAGTGTGGAATTGGGCATGATTTCTGCAGCAGTGGTAGCAGCTGGCTTAGTGTAATGGTTCACAAAGGTTAGCGTGAAGTGTGAAAGGTTGGTCAGTCCCTAGAGTCTTCTACAGTCTGTGGGTAAAGATGCATTACCACAGCAGCCTTCCTCTCTCTCTCTCCTTCTCTCTCCATTGGCCAACATTTGGGAAAACTAGCCCTCAAAATTTCTGCTATTGAGGCTTTATAAGGATATGATGCATTTGAAAAGGATGAGATGTTAACCGTCGAAAGTGCTGATGAGTACATCTCTTTCAATAAAAAGTTTGAAACCTTTAGGTCTATAATAAAATCTACTTGATGTGGTGGACTAAACAGAGACCACATAAGGCTGAGAATTTTCAAGCCTGTTTCTAAGCCCATTACTAATTGAGGGGCTTGGCTTGAGAATGTTCAGAACCAGAAGCTCCCATCTCTCTCAACTGGGGTTTTGGGTTATCTTGTACCTCTAAGCTGTTTTTTTCTGGTTGGTTACCTGAAAAATAGGGTTAGTAGATTGGTGGTAAGAAATAATGTTTCTTAAGTTAGTGAGTAAAAGTCGCTTGAGATTAATTAATGACTGGGCGAATAAAATCTCTTACAGAAAAGCACTTTTGAGCCAGATTAGCACATCATATACTATACTCTTATTTTTATACTATATTCACAACTTTCTGCTTGGTGGACAAACTAAAGGCGGAAAGCTCAGACGCGTTTTAGCGGTGGTGGTAATACACTTAAAAGGAACACCACAGTCAAGTTTTCAGCAGTAGCTTCAGGTTTTACTCTTACTTAGGCTATCCTTTAATGCATTTTGAAATAGTTTAATGCTTTTCCTTTCTGTCCTTCCAAGTGCTGCCTGAATTTTACTACACTTCCCAAATCTCAAAAGATTCTGTATTTTATCTAGTTCTTTAGACAAGATTTACAGCAAAAGCAGCTCTGAAATTTAACAGTTCAAAAGAATAAATAATGTGAAAACCTGCTCTAAACACCAATTGATTCAGCAGCAAAGTGAATTCTGTGTTTCTTGTGGAGAAGACCTTATGATATAGCATAAACCTAATTAATTTTAATGGTTTGGTTTTTTTCAGAGAAACAGGACCATGAAACACTGAACCAGGACAAAGATGTTGATTACAATTTAGATGAGAATGAAGCTGAATCAGAAAGGAACAAGCAAGCAGCACTTGCAGATACTAAAAATGGTAAAAAAGAGGGAAAAGTTTTTGAACTGAAGTACCACAGGCTGAAAATTTTGGTACTGTATTTTCAGTGACATTGTGTAGCAGATGTAGCTAGTTTCTGTTTGTTCTTTGAGCTTTCCCTCATGTTGACAGTGTGACCTATTTATTAAGTGGCATCACTGAAGCTACTGTTTTAACATGTGGTAGGGAGGGACAGCATCTGTGGCTTTTTTGTACTATAACAGTACTTAGTGGTCCTTTCAGAATTTCTCCTGCTGTGTTCTAGGTTGTTTTCCAGATGAAGAACTATCACTTTGCCTCTTAAATAGATTGCTGTACCTCTTTTTTTGTTTCCTAATTAGTTCAAAGCCCTGAAGATATGAAGAAACACTTACCTGAGCAAGGTGAAGAACGACAGAGGTTGTGAAGAAAGGACATTGATGATGGAACTTAGACACCTCTTCATATAAATGAAACAGTGATGAGAGCAAAGTGATCTGAGAATGTTTTGATTATTTCCTCAAGGCTTCAGTAAGGGTCTGAATGAAGTAGTATTTTATTGTGAAGTTTTCATACTGTTTCAGTGGTGGAAAAAATAATCTTGAATCTCTGGAGGCTTGTTTATAGTAGCTTGGCCTCTGCAATGACTCCTTTGTTTTTACTGATTACAAAACTGAAACCAGCCAGCAATAAGTGTTGTAACTTGGAAGTTGGCTTACTTGTGCAGCCATACTACAGTAACTGTGTGGATTGGTGGTAGGTAAGTCCTCTGCCAAGGATGGACCTCTCCCTTGAGCAATGCAGTAGAGAAATCGCCAGCCTAGTTTTAAGAGGAACTAATATACTGTGAAGAAACATGGGAAGGATGAAAAATGGCCGATGCTGCAGTCTACCCTTGTGCCTATTCTGGTACCTTTTTACTGCAATGCAGATACTCAGTAAGTGTGATTGCAGTCCTCAGATATTATGCAGTGCAATATATTTTCCTGGGCTGCCGCAAATGAAATTGCTAGCTTACACTATCTGTAAGTAGGCTGACATGCTGTCCTGGTTGTGGTCTTAGCTTTTAGGTTAAGAAAAAAAAAAATTATCCTGACAAAAGTGTCTTCTCATTAAGAGATTTTTCTAAATGCTTTGTTGGACTCCTGTTCACAAGATGGTTCAGTTACCACTAACTTGCACAAGTTCAGAGTGTAAAAATTTAAACTCCCGAGCTTTTCCTGATAGAAGTCATCTGCAACCAGTGTGCTAAGTACCCTTTACTGCACCCAGCCACTATCTTCTGCTGAAAAGTAGAAAGGCAAATGCTTGCCTTGCAGAGCAGCAATCATCTCAGCTCTTCACAGTGACATCTTCTCTGCTGGACTTCTGAAGAAGGTAAACCAGACTCTGCATTTACCAGACATCCCAACATCCACCACAGGTGAAGTCCTATGCTATGCACACTGTATCATGCTGTTCATGTCCTGTAGGCCTTGTCTCTTCTGTAAGTTGTTGAACGTAAACTAGAAACTAGTTTGCTTGCGATAACCTAGAAATACCCTCTGTGACCACTAAGGCACCTTTAGCTGTAGTCCAACCTGTACTGTGTGATGACTTGGATGAGGGAATTGAGCGTACTAT